TTTCTTAATTACAAATATCGCTATTATATTGCGATTTTTTCAATATTATAGCGCAATTTAGAATGAAAGAAATTCGTCTTTGATAAGATCTCCATCGTGATTCCTCCGGGTTAAATCTCTTCTTATTTTAATTATATTTAGGATTGCACCAACATTACTTTAATTTTAAAGGAAGGGGGAAGGCTTAAAACTCACTTTCTCTCTTTAAAGCCGAGAGAGAAAAAAAAGAGTTTTAAGCCTTGCTTAAAATCAAAGTAAAGGCCGCAGCACACTTTCACATAACGCATAATGAATCAACTAATTAGAATCTTTCCTTTCTTTTCATTCAATAGAAAAGAAGAATTTCGATTGGTTGATTCCTTTATGCATTATGCATTATGCAATTGTCTGTGCTGTGGCCATAACGTTGGCCATAACGTTATAGCTTTAGTCCTTTACAAAAACAATACATTGCAGTATGATATATTCATCCAATTTGATTATTTATAACTATCATAAAAATATTGTAAAAAAATTTTTTTTATCTTTATTAATAAAAAAGTTGTAAGCAATGAAAAAGAATACAGGTGCAACGCTGAAAAAGCTCGGTGTCTATCAAGTCATGACAACATTTGCTTGATACGAAAACTGTAATTTGTACTTATGAAATTGGAAGCTGCAAACTAGTAAATTACATGAAAAAATAACGTCGAGATCTTGGAATAAAATTTAATTGACATTTAATATGCGTGTTAACTAATAACTTTCTATTAAATATTTTAATTTCCGCAATGTATTTAAAGAATAATGTATTAAATTGGTACAATATTCATCAAAATGATTAATTAAATACACATATCATGTATATATATATTTACACGTATCGTCGAAATTAAGATAATTCAATAAAAAAATTATTAGTTAGTATCTGTATCAAGTATATACAGTATATACTAGGTCATTAGGGCCACTTCGACTAACTCCGATTAACTTTAATCGACGGTTAGTTCAATGGAATTGACCAATCACATATTAAGGATAGATTATGCCCATTTCTACCAATGTGGTTTAATTTTAATCTCGGTTCAATAAACTCTTTTTTTAGTTCTAAGAATTATAAAAAAAATGAAGAGTAAGTTGAACCAAGATTAAAGTTAATTTACAGTGGTCGGAAACGGGCATTAATCGAAATGAGTGTATATCAATTGCCCACATCACTAATTTGCTAATTTAAAATAATATAATCTCATTAATGAAGCAGTGAAAAATTATTAACAATAAAAATAGATCGATGTGAATGGTGTGTGCAATTGAATTATGTATAAATGCGCCGCTCCCGGCCGCTAATAGCGTTTTGCGTTTTCCTTTGGGATGCACTGGGTGTAGCCTTGCATCATGCAGAGGTGTGTCCGATATTTTGTATAGTAAAAAAATTGCACAATACAATATAACGACAACTATCGGTAGATGTATAAAGAATAGCACCTCAGTTGTGCATGTAAGCGCTGCACTGCGCTGGTATACACTACTTCATTATTGTGCAAAAAAATCCTGCTTCCGATTAACTTACATTTTCAAATTTTAAGGCCCAGTTCCACAATTCACGATTAACTCTTTGCTGGGTAATCTTAATATTATAATAGTCATACTGGCTCTATATCATTGAAACACCGAATGAGTTCGTCTACCACCAGCCATGGAAATATGTTACACTGTCTGAGTGCAGTCAAAGGAAAAAGCTATAAAACGCTATAAATCGTCGAAAATTTATATATATACAATATGTGTGCGTGCGCGCACGATATTGATGTAATAGTATATAAAAAGATGTGTTGCATTTATCGGTAAATAGCCGTTCTATCGTTTGGGCTTCACCCAAATGTTAAAATTATTATAGTTTTATTTTAGTATTAAGTATTATCATTTCGAAATAATTTCAAGAGTCCGCTATTGTTACACAAAATCAGTGATACTACGTCATTTATATACGTATAAAGAATTATAATGCCTATGAGAGCCGAACACTGAATGTCCGCGTATAAAAATTTATTCAATTAGTATATCATATAACAATAGACATTTCGATCCTACTGCGGATTCTTCTCAATATCGCAATAACGATCGATACAATACAATTAAAAATTGATAAATCATACAATTAAAAACTAAACTTTAAAAATCGAATTGTGCGACGAATTGTAGCCGTGTTTTATGATGTAGTCATAAGAAATTGTGTTCAAACGTATTCTCATTATAATTATCAAGTTAAACGCAAAGACAGATAGTTCAGAGGACGTTGTCAGTCTTATTATATGCTCTCATATCACCGACATATTCAAAAACGAGACAAGACTCTCAGAAAAAGCGTCCATTTTTCGCTCTCACATTTTTATTATATATATATATGTATACATATATTATATTTTGTATCAGAACATAATTTTGATTATATAATTTATTAGTTAATTTCTCTCATTTATGAATTTTACGCTTGTATTTGTAATTATAGATATATTTGGCGCACATTATTTTACATCTGTCTTTTTACATTGTAGATTTAGTGGAAATAAAATATACCTACAATTCTATAACCAGTCTTTAAACAGGTTTGTTATACTTTTTTGTGTATACATAAATGCTCTTTGAAAATAAATTAATCATTATTAATAAGAATTAGTTACAATAATAATTCGAATTTTAGTAATCATTTATCAAGATGTCTTGTGCTATCGATCTTCAACGACAAGAGGATGAAGTGGCTGTAATTTCTAGTATTTATGATGAAACAGAATTCTTTCACGTGAAAATCAAGGAGGGTACAAGATGCTCAGTCACCATACATCCAATATTTCTTAAAAAACTGGAAATAAAATTTAGTAGTGGTCCTTCCGATGTGGTTCTCAACGATAGTATTTCTGTAGAACATCTACCGCCAATCAGAATGTACATTTATCTCCCTAACACATATCCATCTAAAACACCACCAGAATTTTGCCTTTCCATTATTTGGTTGTCACCTTGGGAAATATCTTTAATTTGTCAGAAATTAGATGAAATATGGAAAGAGAACCAGGGCAACGAGATCATCTTCCTATGGCTAAATTTTCTACAAAACGATCTTTTCAGTTTTCTAAATATATCAGAATCATTAGATATTTCCTTCTTACATTTAATTCACACGTCACGAGATAATGTCACATTACGCCTAATCCAGTTATCCGATCCCAGGGCTCAGAATGGTGCATTATTATTAGATATCAAAAGATTATTAATATCTTATGACAAGAAGCAACATAAAGCACAATTCGTCAAGAACTTTTATACTTGCTACATATGTTTCGAGGAATGTGCAGGACTAAATTGTATAGAATTAGAAAACTGTGGGCATGTCTATTGCAAAAGTTGCATGGAGAAGCACGTACATATCAGGATTGTCGAGTATATTAATGAGATATTGTGTCCGACGATAGACTGCAAGCGGCAAATAAGCGATAACGACGTTAAGACTCTCTGTCCGGACTTGTTTTTCCAATACGAAGAAATCATGTTACGAGTAACGTTAGACACCATGGATGACGTAGTGTACTGTCCACAAATTTCTTGTCAATATCCGGTTATCAGAAACCCGGACGATACCGCACCGATCTGTCCTATCTGCAAATACTGTTTTTGTATCTATTGCCGTAAGGTAAGACATGTCTCAACATTTAAGCGGATGTGTATGTATCTATGACTTGTTATTACATCGTGCATATAGATACTAACTAAACTTTCTATTTTATTAAATTATTTTAATTTCGTCTATGCATGTAAATATATATGTAAATACATATATATGATACGTGTACTTAATTAATCATCTTGATATTGTATCATCTTAGTACACTATTTTTTAAACGCATCACTGAAATTAATTAATAGAAAGTTACTAGTTGGTACGAGTATTAAACGATCGATGTAAACTAAGTCTACATATCGACATATTCTATATATAAATTGTTATTCAAACAGATGTACCATGGACAAGCACCCTGTGAAATGACATCGACCGATACTATAAAGCTCATTGATGAGTACAGAAATAGCAGTAATAAGAAGAAACAGACATTAGAGAAAAAATATGGCAAGCGTCAAATGCAATTAATTGAAAAATATCTTACGACTGAATATCTACAAGTATGTATAACAAAGTATAAAAGATTCAATTATATGAAAATTAATGAATAGACGTAATAAGATTACAGTAGAGTATTACTCCTAATAATGATTGTGCACGTAACTTTGTTTAGGATAATGCGAAAAGTTGCCCGAAATGCCGTTCTTTCATTAGCAAAACCGACGGTTGCAATAAAATGACGTGTAGACATTGCCAATCTTTATTTTGCTGGCTGTGCAACGAACAAATATATGGATATGAGCACTTCAATAACGTCGACAGTCAGTGTTACGGACTTTTATTTCATGGCATAGATACGGACAACGTCTTGGATTATGTTATTGATGATGCAATGGATAATATAAATCCATTCTTTGAAGATCTCCACATTTAAATGTATATGTTATAACAAAATAACTAGCAAAAAGACGTAATTAAGATCTTGAACTAAAATTATCCCATTTTTATTTATATTTTTTAAAATAACATGAAAAAGGACTCATTATTGTCAGATATCAGTTATATATTTTTGATAAATGTAGCTATTTTCATATTTTATATTAGCACATATTTTCATAATTATGTACATCACTTAAAACATTTTTTATAAGAAAATATTAATTTTTTAATTATAAAAAATGTTAATAGCTAATATAATTAAAATGTTAATAGCTAATATATTTGTATATCTGTAATACATGTGTATATAACAAAACATGTTCTTATATCTGGTATAGAAATCTAACAAGGATATTAATTTAGTTGTAAATAAGTATTATATTAAATTTCATATCGTGTATTTTTTACTTTATGATTTGTAATAAAATATCTGTATAAAAATATGCTATGTATACATATAATATATGACAACAATAACAATATCCTAAATAATATTAGACTTTTCTAGATAATAAAAATTTCAAACTATTGCAATGTTTGATGTTGCAACACTCACGCATCTCTCTGTAAGTGAATCTCGATATTTGCTTCTGTAACTAATTGTTCTGCAACGATAGAGACAGCAGATTCGCGTCTCTGTAGATTCGCGACAATATCTAAGAGTGATTATAAAAATAAGGTAAAATAATCACTTTCTTACAATCTTACATTAACATGAAGTTGCATTACCTTCGCAATTCTTATCACATTCCACAACTGCTTGTTTATGATGAAAATATTGCATGTTTAATTGTATAAGTGCAGGACCGAATATGCTGTATCCAATGCACGCTCCGATTACGAGGGCGATGGTGATATATGCGTTGTATGTCATAACAGCCAACATCAGGATATAACCGAGCGCAGTGTGGAGAGACCAATGCAACATTTGCAGTGTCCATCTTGAGCAGCTTCCACTAAGAGAACATATTTAATATGTCTTAAAATAAAAACGCTTAGCTACTACTAAGGAAAACGAATTTAGGACAATAACTATAATAAAATTGTCAGTAGCAAAATGTCAATAGATATATGTATAATAATATGATTAATTTTAAGCGCAGTTTGAATGATTACAAATATGGGCTGTGTTCCAAGTCAACTGTTAGTGCTGAAAATGTATAGTGTAATATAAACTGTAAATTTTTAACGCTGGCAGTGAATTTTGGAACACAGCCATGGTATATGCATGTACATATACATATAGTATATATATATATATATGAAGATCCAGCTTTGAGACTAGATCCAGCATTATAGACTTTGATATTTTTACTTATTGAGCATTCATGGTCACATATATGGTCTTAATAAATCATTTATTATGATTTTGTAAAAATGTCATATATATGTTGTAAATGTATATATTCCCTTTTGCTTGTATAAGATATAATGTGTTCTAAAACTTCTAAAGCAATAATGAAGTCAAGTGTTGTTTGCTACATTATATTATACTTCCAAAATAAAATAATTAAAGTAGATATATTAATATATTGAAAAAAAGAATAAATATAACTGAGTGTCCCGAATTCAAACTTCAAGCGTGCAGGAAATCAACAAATTAAGGAAAAAAGTTCTTTAGAGATATGCTCATTTTTGACAAAATTCGTTTTGAAGAAAATAGTAAAAAAAAGACAAAACGTAATTTTCGAAATATTGTTTTCAAAGCGGAATATTATTGTTTTCAGCAGAATATAATGTTTCAGATGCGAAAGTATGCACGCTGATTTCAGACAAAAGAATGCCAAATCGGCGAGTCATTACATTGACCACATCAGTGTTTGGCTGCAACAAGAGCTGTCTGTACATACAAGATGCAATGTGTACATTGTTGTAAAAAAAAAAACAACATTTTGAACTATATCTATATTAAGATGACACATGAATAAATAAGTGTGAATGAATAAGTAATAAATAAATACAAAAAATGAAAACTACGTTTTGTTTTTTTTTTGCGATTTTCTCCAAAATGAAACAAAAACGATCATATCTTTAAAGAACCTTTCTTTTTAATTTGTTAATCCCTTATATACTCTTGAAGTTTAGTCATTTAAATTCGAGACTGTATAGATATATTAAAGAAAAAAATGAAAGATAACATTCCAAGCAATTCCAATCAAATTTTGAACAATAATTAAATCAGGCTAAAGCAAAATCTGTAATTATAAATTTGTTATCCCTAATCTTTTTTCACATGCTAAATAACAAAAAATTTGTAATTTTATTCATGTTACAGAAATAGTACAAACATCATTTGGTATTAAATACCAATTAAGTTAATTGATTAAAGTTTATAATTAAAATCGTCAGAATGCTAATATATACAGTGAGAGCAAAAAATATTTGTACAGAGAAATTTTTTATAAAAAGTCTTATTTGTAGAAAATAAATTTTAATAGCAATTTTATACAATGAATACATTCAGTTCTAATAAACGAGCTTCGCATGTATTCTTGATTTTAGAAACTAATTTCTCGACTGTACGAATATTTTTTGAGCATTCAAACAATACAATTTTTAATTTTCACTTATTTTTCAGATGATATATTTTCTATAATTAATACACATCTTTTTAATATATATAATTTAAAAAAACACGGTCTATTTTATTCTTTATAAATAAATTGTTAATTATCCAACAAGAAATGATCGTCGAATCGAATGATGTTCAAATTAATGTTGAAATCATCGTACGATATCGATTCGACATTAGTTCGATGACTCATTTCTCGCTAGATATTTACTTTTTAAAAATAAAGCTTTTTTAAAAAATGTTTTCTCTGTACGAATACTTTTTGCACTCACTGTATCTTATTGAACTTCGAGCAGATAAGAAAATGACAATGTACCATTTTGTGTATGATCTAAAATTCTTTGGCGTCACTCTGGATAAAAGAGACGAGTTCTCCGAAGAGGCCGAGGTCGTTCGAGATATGGATCTAATCACAGACTGTTGCAGATGGATCTGGGAGACTTTCATGGCTTCATATAGTACTGCGAGGGCAGCTAAGCCAAAGCATGTTGCCACCAAACCCCATATCGTATTAACATTATATCCCGGAAACAAAAAGCTACCCAGATCCGTACCAAACCAGTACCACATATGCATCTGCAACGTTTTACGAGTAGAGATAAAGACAAGTGTTTCTATAGAGCATACAGGGTGCGTAAAAGAAACGTCAAGAATTAAAGCTGTACTGACCTTAATTACCTCAATTCCTTCTCGTACACCCTCGACTGGTAAGAGTCAATCATGACGACTGATAAGCCACGCGTATATCGCGTATTGTCGCGTATACAGACGCCTACGCATTTTCTTAATCGATTACCTAGCTTAACCCAAAACTTTCTTGTTTACAAATTGTGTCCGCTTACTCCGCGTTTAGGCGTTACATTTCAACCACGTAAATCTTGATGTGTAAATCCTTGCCATGGTTGCTAGTTAAACTTTAATTTATAGATAAACCGAAAGAGTTTGAAAAGATTATTCTTGTGATTTTTATTCGTCCTTTATTCGTCCGATTTGTGCCAAGAAACGCAAGGTTGAAAGACAACATGTGTTTAGCGGAGCAGCGAGCGAATCTGAATTCTGATTGGCGCTCACCCGCGAGTTCGACGAATCCCGGAGTGACGACGCGATCTGTTTTTTCTTCACGTGGGATTCATATGCAATGACCGATGTCGATGTCGGCAAAGCCGATTCTTTACGCATAGTTAAACAGTGAACAGCTGAATAGCGATCAGATGCAACTTTGACGATTGATGTGAATGGATTGTTGATTGAACAGATGGTTGTTAATCCAAATTGAAAAACGTCAAAGCTTTGCCTTCACTTAAAGAACTCTATCCCTGTAATAAAAGATAAGATTGATAAGAACGCATGTAAACTTTTTGTTTTTGATCGAATTTCAAACGCTGTTCGATAAAAATGGAATTATTAACATATCTCACACTTTTCGTTTGTATTTCATTCATTGCAAGTACAGAGAGAGATGCGAATACATTAGGTATTTACTTAGATAGAAACTTCTTTGATTATCTGAGAGATTAGGTCTGTTCTTTGTTATTATACTAAACTGTACTAAAATTTCAAATATATTTATTTTCATTTTAAGTACGAGCCTCACACAATGCTATTCTTCTAAGGATATTCTTCAGGATGTTCTAAGAGCATCCTCTGGACAACCTTATGAATCTTGGAGAATTGTGTTGTGTATACTACAAACCACAAAAAACAGACCTATTTTCTACTGTCTGATATTATAAGAATATCAGATGTTATAAAGATAATATAAAAAATAATATTTTCTTTTTTATTTAAGCTAAATATGTGAAAAAATTTTAACTACAATACTTTTAGAGCCCGATAAGGTAACGATAATAATATTGAGTCAAAAGGAAGGCTACAATGCAGCCCATGCTGATTATTTAAGGGAAAACATCTATGAACAAGCTGATGCTCTTGAAAAAGTACGTTTGATCACAAGAGAATTTTTTCTTTATGTGTTGTTTTTATTAAATTTTTACTAAGTGTATGTATGTAATAACTACGTCTATTTTGTATTTATTTTGTATATATTAAATAAATTATCTTTATACTTTTATAGGAATTGCCGCACATCGTACTGTCCCATAAACTTAATATCAAAGGTTCCTGGACGATAGTTCCACTATTGACTTATTTGTCAGGTGAATTTCCAGATGTGGAATGGTTCTTCTTCTGTTTAGAAAATACTGTGATTCGATTAGAAAAGCTATTAGATGTTCTTGGAAAATTTAGCTCTTCTCAGGTGAATTGCGCTCTTGTTGCAAACTTTTAAGAATATATTTCTATTCTAGATTTATATTTTAGATAATTTATTTGTATGCAGGATGTGTGGATGGGATACGCACTTTATGATCGTGAACCTACTATTATTCATCACTTTGCACAGCACACTAAAAAATTTAAGTATCCACACATTGCGTCTGGATTTGCCATGAGTGTTACGCTATTAAAGAGGTATATTCTATTTTTATATTAAACAATTATTATATACATTATTTAAAGAAGTATATCCATTATGTTAAAGTTATTACAAGAGTCATAAATAGCTTCTGAAGAGTAATGAAGATATAAAATAGGCTGTATATCACAAATTAACTTAATAAAAGCTTGCTTCTAAATATTTCCTCCATTTTATAAAACTGACTCTATTGGCATATAATTTTATAAAAATATGATAACGATTTATTTCCATAATTTATTTTTATATTTTTTATCCAAAAGTTAAGAATATAATTTAATATTTTAGTTTGTCTAAACAAATATCTAAGGGCAAGGAACCGAAAGCAGATTTTTCTATCGACGTATCATATGAATTCGCAATCTTTGTCTTAAATCGTACTGGCGTGAAATTGACTCATGTATCTAAATTATGCATTGTGTCTGCCTCAGATTGTGCCACGTATCCCCGATTTTTCCATTCTTGTGTATGTTACATCATCTGAGTTCTTAATTAATAATAAGAATAATTTTAGTAAGTTAGTTAATCAAGAACAATATGCTGTATTGTTGAACCGTTAATACTTTCAATTTTACAGAGTTCTTCTGTAACTCCAGAAAATATTTATTTTGCTGTTAAGACTTGTGCTAAATTTCATTTAGATAGAATTCCAGTGATTAAAAAGTCATGGGCCAAATACGATTTGAACATTGGATATTTTAGTGATGCAGCTGGTATGCCTGATCAATGTGCATATATTTTTTGATATGTTTATAGTTTTTGTAAATTACTGAATTATTTTTCTACAGACAAAAATTTACGGGAAGCATACATCGTCCCGAATACTACTGAAGGACATTGCGCTAAAACTTATGCTATCTTGCAAGAAACCAGCAAAATACTAAAAAGACGCAATTTCGATTGGCTTGCTATTGTCGATGATGATACTATATTCAGGTGAGACAATTATATTTTAAAATTTTTTTTAAATTGTCAAAATTATGCAAAATGTCACAAAGCTAACTCAAGAGCTAAAATTTAACTCAAGAGCTAAACTCTTCTCGCTCTATATTGTTTCGTTAAGCAAAACAGAAATAAAATAAAAAGAATAGACTTTGTTCAATGACTGACTACTTTAGCGTCTATCCTTTTTATTTTCATTCAATAAGATGATGAAGAAGGAGAGTTTAAGGTCACGAGCTAAAATAGTTTCAAACAGGTTTTTAATGTATTACAGTGTGGTACGTTTATTAAACTTGCTCACTTGCTACAATCCTAAGCACTTAGTCGCGATTGGCGAACGTTACGGCTTTCGTATTTGGGATAGATATCACGGCTATCAGTACTTAACTGGCGGTGCGGGAGTTGTGTTATCGGCTCCCTTAGTTCAGCTGATAGTAGAACCAGGCGTATGTACTTGCCCATCTGCGACTACTCCCGATGACATGCATCTCTTTGGACTTTGTTTGTTGCGACTTAGAGTGGAAGGTGTACATTCTCCAATGTTCCATCAGGTTTGTGCAATAACAAATATTAACTTAAGTAAAGATTTCAACTCACAAGAAAAAATGATATATAATGCCAATAAGAATCGACACTAGTTATTATATAACTTATACTATAATAGCGTCGGTTTTCATTGGCATTATGTATCATTTATTTTTTGTGCAATAATTATCCGTATTTATATTGAACATTAAACCAACTGGTTTAAGTTTACCCAGAACATTAGATTTACATTTTATTACCTTTCGAAGATGGCAAACCACCAAGAATATCTTTGAAAGTACACATGCACGTATGAGATGTATAATTTAAAAAACTGACACAATTATAGTGTTTATTTTAATATACTCTAGTGACTATTATTTTTAATAGTATCACATCATTTTATATTTGATAACTGTTGTAGGCACAACCTATAGACTACCCTTACGCTTATTTGGCATCTCAAGAACCTATATCATTTCACAGATTCTGGTCAGTTGATCCTAAAGCTGTGTATAATGACTGGTTTGCAGAAGTAGATAAAGTCTTACCGCTTGCAGACACACCATTAAAACATACAGAATTATAAATATTTTTTTAAAAAAAAACTTTATACAAATTTGCAATAAATATTTTTCTTTTTGTATTTGTAATAGATTTTCTTCAAAATATTTATTTTTCATTATTTATTTAATATTACTCTTAAAATATTCTAAAAATGTTTAATATTTATATATTTGTATGTATCAAAAATATTTTATATTTAATATTATACAATATTAATATAAATGATATTATGTACAAAACACAAAAATATAAAGATGTAAAAATTTTTATAATAGTGTACATATATATAAAAATTGTATTTAAATTATTAAAAATTTAACATGAAATATTAAT